TTTACATTCGAATTAGATTTCATCTTTAAATGTATTTTTTGGTATTTTAGAAATTTATTCTGACCTTCACAGTTGTTCGGTTTGTGGTCATGTACGTATGTTACATATCACATGTGGTATTTTTATTTGTTGCTTTTTTTTATCTCTTAGAATAGATTGTGACTGAATTAAAACAATCGATTATCAAATAATAGTTCAGATCATAATTCCCAGTCACTAATTCAGGCTACAACATGAACGATAAAATTTATGATTAGCTAATAGCAAGCGAATAATTCTAGATATTTTTGTGTATTTTTCAAAATTTAAAGATCTAATAATTTCTATATTTATTTCATTTCACGTTTTCTTATTAGAATTTATGATAATAGGATTCAATAAGAGTTGATTATTTTTTCTTTTTTGTACAGTCTATTTATGTCATATGTGCGCAATATTATGTCTCATGAACATACGTAGAAACAAAGATGAACATAAGAAAGAAAATAAAGTAAAAGAATGATTAGGAGGCTTTTCTTGCTGTTTTCTAAAGGAATGTGGTTGTTTATGAAGTTTTTTAGCTTTCATTTTGGTATTGATTTTCTTTGATACCTAACATAGTAGCTAGTTTTTTTTACAAATTTATTATCTTGCTGTATTTTATTCGTTGATAATAAGACTAAAGAATATTAAAATAATTTCATATATTTCTTTCCGAAAATAATACTATCAAACATCAGACAAATCACTCAAATCTTATTCTATATGAAACATATCAATATGTTAGAAATCTTGTGTCTGATATTAATATTCTAAAAATATATCATTAGTAACAGTTAGTGAAGTGAATATTTGATTAAATTTTCACCGATGTGTTTTCTATTCTCAACAGCATATTTTGAAAAAAGATTTTTCAACGAGACTGGTAAAAGTTTCTTATTCTCTTTTTNATTATGTTCGAAATTAGAGAGATTCTTACTCTTGCGATTGATTATCCTGCAAAACAACTTTAGTCTAGGAGAGATTTTTCAGTTTACGTATTTTATATTAGTTGAATGAGGCTAGAGAGCATATCTGAGTTCCACATTTCAGCCCCAAAGGGGCTGCGCTAACAAGCTTTTTCATTATTTCCGAATTTTGTTTGATCATTAAACGGTTCATAGAGCGATGTAAGAATCCTACTTTAATGACATTAGTATGGTGCTAATTTTAAGAAGAAATTTGGATGAAAACAACTTTAATATGGGATCAAACCAACAACTCTTTCAAGACTATTGCTATGCGACTATGACGGAAAAAAAAGAAATTAATATATTTTGCGAAGAAAAAAACTCTTATCTTCTTCTTCATGATGCTTTATAATATATTATTTATAAAACAATACTTATTTTTCATTTCTTAATATTTTTCCTACGTCAAAAAAATTGGTCTTTATACTTGTTATACATAGTCATCTCATTATTTTCAAGAAAATTATTGATAGTTTTGAACAGATGTTCCTTAAAGAAAAAATTAGATGAAAAGTGTGTTTTGTTATGCATACTCATTTATTATTCTATTGAGCGAAAGTAACAGTTATATATAACAGAAAAATGTATGCCATTTGAGAATGAAAAAAGCTAAAAAGGTAAGTCTTACATAGTTTTGTAGATGAGCATCTAGACTATCTTTTATACGGTTGGAATCTATAGATTCCTATAAAAAGATTTCTATAAAGCTTTGAAAAACTTTAACTTAACCTTTCAAAAATTGATGGAGACGAAACTCTGAGTCTTCAGGAATCTTCTTCATGTTTTATGTGATATATAGAGTGTTCATTTACTTATGTAGCGATGAAAACTGCAACTCTCTAGTTCCGTTCATTCTTGAACTAATCAAAAATTTACATGGATGTTTAAGTTTTGGAGAGATATTGTATACCTTTATGTGTTCATTTTGTCTCTTGATTTTTCTTTTCTTCTACGTACTCTGTTATAATGCAACAATGTTCTTCTGTGACTATTTCCTGTGAACGACAATTCTTAACTGTAAAGATCTTGAAATCAGAATAATTTTCACAAAAAAATTTTAAATATTTTAGATCACAGTTTCATCCTTATCCATTAAATAAGAGTGTATACGTTAACTGATCAATGTCAATAGATATCTGTAAATGAGTTGACAAACATATTTAGCGTAGCACTGCATGGTATATTACACGTTAGTCTTTTTATAAAATATACATTGTAAGCTTAAAATTAGAGCTGTAGAAGAAGATTGATACATGTATGATGAGAATGTCAAGATATTTCAATATTTCAATTTTGAATTCTTGTTTTGTTAAGAAGGTTGACATATTTGACATAATTTAATTCTCTTCTTTTGTTTAATTTAATTTAATTTTAAATTTAAATCAATTTAATTTAATTTGATATTATAGTTTATTTATTTAAATTTAAAAATGTAGAAATTGTGACGTTTTGTATCTCGATAAGATACTTCATCAGACATAAAAATTTTAAGACAAATGACATGTACATACAAACGAATTTTTCTTTTCTTTTAGTATTAGTCATACTTTTAATAGTGATACGGAAAACGATTCAATCCTTAGCTAGCTATTATTATTACCGTCTTGTTTTCCGTATCACTATCAAAAGTATGACTAATACTAAAAGAAAAAAAAATTCGTTTGTATGTACATGTCATTTGTCTTAAAATTGTTATGTCTGATGAAGTATCTTATCGAGATACGAAACGTCACAATTTCTACATTTTTAAATTTAAATAAATAAGCTATAATATCAAATAAATTAAATTGATTTAAATTTAAAATTAAATTAAATTAAACAAAAGAAGAGAATTAAATTATGTCAAATTTCAATTTTGATTAGAAGTTGTATTAGCTTTTTAACATAACTAATTTTCTTCTTTTCTTAATCAAGTTTTGATTAGACGAATATTAGCAATTTACTTAATTTAGAAGTTTCAAGTTTTGTGATGCATCTCAACTCGACGAGGTAATTCTTTAGATACCGGCTTGAAAACATATGGCATTCACCTATAAGTAAAATTCTCTTTTTTTGATAGTTTATGCTTTTAACAAGATTGCGGCAAAAGGCAGAAACAGGAATAACCAAATAGAAACCAGGCATTTTTTCTCGTATCACTAACAGAAGTATGAATAATACTGAAAGAAAAGAAAATTTTGTTTACAGTTGAACTTCATTAGTCTTCAGGCCGATGTTTGAAGAAATACTTCATAGAACTGAGAATCATAACAATTTATGAAAGCTTATATGTACAAAAAAGAAATTGTTTTTGTACATATAATGAAAGCTTAAATAATGAATAATAAAATAAAATCATGCAAATATTTTTCAATTTTTATCGAAGTATCAACAACCCTCAGACATGTGTCGCTGTTCACTTTATAAGTTTCACATTAGTATTTGAAGAATAATTCTTCTTTAAGGTGAGAGACGTTCTAATTTTTCCTTCCTCTATCTGAACGAAAATTTCAAAAAGGCACTCAAAAATTTTGAAAATTTTACACTAATAGAAAAAAATTGTCTCCTTAGCAGAAAATTAGCCTTTTTGCACGGTTTTCACCATATGAAAAACTGAGAAATATGCTTATTCGATGTGACTTATAAGGTGTATCCAGTAATACGAAACTGAGAGTAATTATATATTACACACTCAGATCCTTGTTATATTCGACGAAATGAGCCACAAGAAAGGCAATCAAGTTATGCAAAAAAGAAGGACATCAGCTTTCCCTGTCTCATTAGTGATTATTTTATTTTATATCATTTTAACCGTTAGATTAGTGAGATAAAGTTTTGTGTGTCCGTTCTTTTTCTGTCACATTGTGGATGAGAAGAAACATATTCTCTAGAATCATTAAATACTGAAAAATATCTTTATTTTTATCAGTCAGATATTCTTGGTCTAAGACAGTTCAAAGAACCCATAAATGTTAAATCCTCAGTCGTTGCTCCTGCAATATGTTTCCTTCATCAGCCGTTTGCCTCTGAGGATAAATGTGAAACTCGATTCGGCTTGCACGTCGGTATTCGCGATCACAGCTTCATTCATTCACACGTGCCATAAATATAATTTGCAGAATTAATTTAACAAATTATCAGCATCTAAAAATCCTGCGCTGGTTAATAATTACCTTTCTTTGCTTTTCATGTCATCTTATTTGTTTTTAGATCTTTTAACAATTATTTCTCACTGGCCAAAAAGAGGCGTAGGTAAATGCAAAACGATACTGAAGAGAAATGTTCGGGAAGCAACTGTCTGAATTTTACCTTTATGTTATCCGTTGAGAATTTATATATTCATGGGTAAGAAACAGATTCAGTTTACGATAGAAACATGTTGATAACATATTCTAGCTATTATCCGTCAATGTTCGATATCTATTGTCTTTCCCGTTTAATTATCTAATAGGTTAAAAGCGAGAGAATAATATATCTGAAAAAGAAGTAAATTTCAATTGCTAAACACTAGTTTATAAAAAAGAAACGTTTTCAAACTTTAGCATAAGTTTGCTCATGTGAATAAAAATTAATCCATGTACAAAAGTGCTTAGAATTGAATTATTAAATGTATGACTACATTAAGTAGTCACTCAAAATTTTCCTTTTAAGCGCTTTCTAATGACACAGTACGCTTGCAATTGGCGGAGGTCGTAATGAAATTTCCATACAAATAAAATATGAAAACTAAAATCGGTTGCTAATTTTCCTACACCAAGTTTCGTAAAGATAGAACCGAAAAATCCACATAGCCCGTGAAAGCTGCTATAGGACACTTACGTTTCGAATAGATATGTGATCAGATAGGGTGTGGGTGTGGGGTGTGGGTGCGAGTATGGGTGTGGGTGTGGGTGCGAGTTGGGGTGTGGGATGGGTGTGGGTGTGGGGGAGTGTGGGTGGATGTGGGTGTGTGGTGGGGACGTAGCATGTGGGTGGAGTGTGATAATCACCAAAACGACACCCACACCCACACCCACACTCACATCATGTGCAATGGATTCTGCTAATTCAGGTGATCCAAGTATAGAGAATCCTGTCATTCATCAACCACTGTAAGTGCCGATAACTCATTTGATAAATGAAGCTGATCTCATAGCATTTATTCCCTGTATCATCCTTTTTGTAATTTAGGAGCGTTGATCAAGCACAACAAAAATCTCCAAATACACTAATAGCTTATCAATCACTTTCTTCTTCAACAGCATTGTGTCAAGCATCACGACCGGTACCGATCACAACAGTGGCCATCAATAGAAAAAAAAGACAACGTCGTGTTTATGCGCTAAAGGTTACTCCATATGCAACAAGAAAGAGAGGTGCGGGACCAGATAAAGCAACAAAATAAAATTTAAATCATTTTGTTATAATTTAAACAGACGTTTTTCTTGTACTTTATCCTTTTTCCTGCTGAACTTATTAATTATCTATAGGTGTTTGTTTTTTATTTAATAAAGGAAAATTACGTTGCTCTAAAAATGTGAATTTATTTGCAATAAAATGTCAAGTAATTCGAAAAATTTCGAAAACTTATAAAGACACATCAATAAGCACAAAGTAAGCCAAATGACGATCATCACTTGGAGTTCTATTGAGACTACAATTTTTTACATTGGTGCTTATTGCAGAGAAATAATATCTATCTCAAAATATTACACCATTTCTAACAGTGCTTAAAGCAGATTGCCGAGTATAACGACGTCCTGCTCAGCACTACGTCATACCGCTGAGCACTATGACGTCCTGCTCAGCACTACGTCATACCGCTGAGCACTATGACGTCCTGCTCAGCACTACGTCATACCGCTCAGCACTACGATGTCTAGCAACTAATTTAAAAAAATTAGGTTTTTTATTTTAGGGGTCAATGAGGTCATGGGCCGAAATTCCATGTAGACTTTCGGCCCGGCCCGAAAAATCACCGGAATTTCGAACCGGGCCGAAAGTCCGGGCCGAAAATTCCGTGGGCCGAAATTCATGGAACCCGAACAATTAACTGTACGTAATGAAGAACGACAAATTAATAAACAATTTAGAAAATCAATATTTATCAATCATTAAATATTTTTATCTTAAACAACTTAATCTTATTGATACATGCATAGATTACTATAAACAATTCTTATTCAATACTAAAATGGATTTAGCATTTGGTGTCCGTGTTGATATGATGTATGGACTAGTGAAAGAAGTGACACGAAACTTCACAAGAAGTAATTGTGCGAAGATTAATTACGTAAACTTATGTACAGAAATACAATATTTTGGATATCCTGACAACTTGTCTGCTAGAAAACAACAACTTCCTCAACATATAAAAGACTATTTTCCTCATACACAAATAGATTGATTATTGTTAATTTTTTATTGAAATAAAGCACGGACAAAAACACTTCAGAAAAAAAACCATAATGAAACTATAATTAACAAGCATTAGTAGACATTGAAAGAAAATTCTATATCTAAAAGGATTTGAACTTTGTTGAAACCAACAAAACAGAGTGGTTTCGGAATTAAATATGATCTAGAGACGCTCATGACGATTGAAAACTGACTGTTGCCATGATACAACAGAAAGACAAAACAAACTAACTTGCTGCACTAATAAAACAAATAAAGCTAATGCGTCACTACAGCACCGCGATAAATTAAAAATAGTAGCCACTGCCATGATGAACATCTCTGATATGATCTGACTTAAAATCGCAACAGTTTAGATTTGGTACGTCCAAAGTTATAGTTTAGAAAGAGATTTTCGTTTAAATAGTTTGTGCAATTAACATAAGATAAATCCAAAAAAGTTTCTGATCTATAAATGCTTATTATGGAAGCTAATGAAATTACAGAAAGAAAATGAAGACTAAAATTCTTGACATATTCTCCTTCTTTTTATGCATGGTGATTCGTTACAGCCAACATTATCTTGTTGCATATGTGATGAAATTGATTGATCAACACGATTATTTGATAATGATCATGCATTGTAAACCAAGTAATATCACGAACATTTAAAAAGCAAGTAACAAATGTAATGAAAGGATGATTTTATTTTCAAAACAAAAAATGATTGATCATTATTATTGAAAAGCTTAGAATTTCTGTTGATATTGAGTAATAATAACATGATTAATACTTGTATTTAATTCACTAAATGTTTATTCATGTGTATAAGAAATAATAATTTTTTTTTGCTTGTATGAAAAATATTTCTGATGATTTATCTTTTTGTTTTAATTTACTATTTGGTATGAGAACTCGTTATCGTACTTTCTTTATCGAAATAAATTAAGTAAATAGCTGAAGCTAGTAATGATATATTAATATATAGTTATCAAGTTTAGTAGATTGAAAAAATCAAAAACATCAGCTGACCTGTAGGCTAGAAAAAAATGTGACCAATTGGCAAGACTGATTAGAGAGATAATTTCTCTTGATTTAGAAAAATACAAAAAATCTGTTTAACAGAATGCTCATTACAAACAGATTGTGAACCAGATATGTCTACAGGGTGAATTTTTACACCCTGCCCTGCCCTGCCCCTGCTGTCTGAATCGAGCAAGGCAAGGCAGGCTTCTCTGCAAAATCGATATGCTTTCTTATATCGGTTTTTATATCCAGTTCAACACCAACAATGTATGTGTATTATGTCATAGAAAATTGTTTTATTTAAATCTATTTCACAGGATAAATAACTAATAGTTGAACTAACAAAATGTATGAATATTCCCAGACGTAAGACAAGTAAATGACATAATATAAATGACCTAGGCTCACAAACTTTACTTTACACATAGATCGGAAAAAGTTCAACAAAAAGAATGACAACAAATCGACGACTGCACTATAAATAAAAAGAATACATGATTTATTTTTATACAAACTTTTTTCTATTAATTGTATAAATAAGATGTGTTCTAATTTATTTGATTGAACATGAGTTCATCTTTCATTTAAGACTCAATCTACAATAGAAAGCTTTCTTTAAATAAGTCTCCAGAAGGAAGTGAATACAATGAAATTTGGGAAGTTTATATAATTATTAAAAGTCGAGTAAAAGCTTTTATAAGACATTGGGATTAAGAAAAAATGAATCCTTCATGAATCGTCTGGCAGAGAAGGCACATCATACGAGTTTAGATATTTTTTCTTTCTTTAATGTTCATGAATGTCAAAAAAATTATTTTAAAAAATCTCATGTTGATTTAAAAAGTTTTATTCAAAAGTATATAGATGCTTTAAAAAATGTAAAATAATAATAGTTGACGATACTTTGATAAATATTATTTGTTTCCTATCTCTCTACCTTTCTGTATTTCTTTTTTGCTCGCGCACTATTATAATAATAGAAGAAGATTTATTACAGACAGAAGTAAAACTCTGTCATTGAGAAAAATAAGAATAGAGATTTCCAATCAGACCAAAGAAATCTTCGAACATTGGAACAATTAATTTCATGAATAAATTTTCATGTCGTTCAATTCAAAATCTATGATAGAGCAAATTTTCAATTGCCAGGCATGGATTCAAATCGTCAATAAAACATTGAAGAAACTGTACAAGGTTTAGATGTTTAGAATTAATCATTCTCATGTTATAAATAGCCTAATTAAAGCTATATGTGATTTTTCTAGCAATTTCTGTGAATAAAAAAAAAATGATTTTTTTTTACAATGCTAAGAAAGTTGCTTGAAGAAACTCCAGATAACATCTAGGAAAAACTATAATATGCAATTCGATGTATCTTCATCTCTGCTTTTCAACGATGAAACTCGTGGCTTTCTATCCTGTTTCTTTCAAAAGTTATATAAAAAACATGGTATAATCGTCCCATAGGATAGAAAAGCAGATCTTATCGTAACTTTATTATTATGATATTAGCTCAAGTATGATCAACTACCATAGAAGAATAGAACATTCTTTATTATATCATATTTTGTAGAACGAAAGTTTCTTAAAGCTTAATATATGCTAATACAATGTCACTGTCACTACATTTAGATATCCCTAAATAGTTCTATAATTTATCAACCGAAACATTAACAAATATAGGAATTATTGTTGATTATTAACTGTTTATTTAATACTGAATGGAACTATTCATCTCATATTATAAACGTCGAAATCTCATAACATTTAGAATAAATAAAAAACTTACAATTAACTAAGTTATTAAAACTTTTCTGATCGAAGTCTAGACCAAGAAAGTTACAATTCATATTATTGTGAAAATTGTTTTTGATTTCACTGCTCTCCTATTATCTTTTTTCTCGAATGCTAAAAATCAATATTTCTATAAAACAAGATCGTACGCTTTGTACGAAATTAGTTCTATTCTCGTACTCTTAGAATCAGTCTCCTGTGACTCAATGGCCTACAATTCTTTGATAATTATCACAATAGCATCATTAATTGAAGATGAGTAAGAGGTACGTGATTGTACCCTTCTATTATGAAAAGAAAAGTGATTTACATATCGAGTGCTACCGAATGATTTTGATAAGATGTATTTTGTTTGATAGCTTCCAACAGAATCATCCAATTAGATTAAAATTCAATGGGAAAACAATAACCCGTAAAAAATTAAATAAACAATACATCCGCTGCAGCAGCGTTTTTTACTATTTTGATTTCAAATATACAGATGGAGAAAATATTGCACATATGTGTCATGTCCTTTAAAACTCTATTCGCTTGAATAAATCGGCTACAATCAGTAGTTCTATTTAGAAAATTCTTCCTTAAAATATCGTACGCGTTTTTCTAGAAAAGAAGTCTTACAAAAAAGTTTTTCATATGCAACGATACATTAGGACATCTATGTTTAGCATCTACATGACTTATTGCCTATATATCTCTAGTTGCTTTAGAAAAATTTACTTTTTTCTTCAGTAACAATAACCAGGCGACTATGCAACTCACAAAAATTTTACAAATCCTTGAAAGAATACCATTCGTTTTTTCTAAGACAAAAATGGACAATTAACAAAAATATATTAGATACAATTGACTTCGCAAAAAAACGAACAATATCTTCGTTCTTTTACCCATTGCTACGTTGTTCTTTCTTTTTATGATTATTTCACAATGTAGACACCTACATTTCTCATCAATCCACCGTACAAGATTCAGCATTGTCATAATCACTTATTTATGTTTCTTGTTTCTCTTGCTGATCTTTTAAAACAAGTTATTTTTCATTAGTAATATTGTTTTCATGACGTATTGTCTTATTTTCAATTGATACTTTATGATATTAAGGGTGTGGGTGTGGGGTATGGGTGTGGCTGTGGGTAGGTGTGACTAGAGAAAGAGTAATCCACACTAACATATCCTCACCCAAACACCCAC